TTTATAATAATTACAGGAATCACAGACATCTGACTGAAATCAAAATGGTGCTAAGTGATGATATCAATAATCCTGATAAACATAACAAATTTAGAAAACCTCTTTACAATATCTTTAATAGATGAGATTTATCTGTATTCTGACATGAACAAACTTTCTATATTGATTCTAATCTTTCAATCTAGTGATTTATAAGTTGTTTTCTACAGATTCTACCTGTTATAAAATCTTACTCACCTTAATATAGTTAGCAATAATAGAAACATTTTTAAAATCTAACGCTGCATCTATCTCATCCATTACATACAGTGGTGTTGGTTTATAGTGGTGTAGAGCAAATACTAGAGCTAGAGAACTTAATGTCTTTTCACCGCCAGATAAATTAGATATATTCTTCCATGATTTCCTTGGGGGTCGTACACTGAAATAAAATATACAATATTCAATCTTTTGAAAATGGTCAAAGGGATATGAATAAGTGGAGACAAATAATACTATGCGGTGTGCAATGAGGGAATTTTTCAAGTCCTTTGATTCGAAATAAATCTGGAATGTTGGTCCACTTTTCCCTGACAAAAATTATAATGTAGAGAGATTTTCTATTCAAGTTTGGTCTTCATGAAAATAAGCAACAACATGCAAAATGAAAAAGTCCTAGAAAAAGCCTAACAAGGTATATCAAGGGCTATAATTAAATAGAATTCTAAATCCCCAAAAAACTCAAAAATATTTCACCGACCTGAAGACGATACCCTCAGAGAAAGGATCTAAAGAATCAAGTAATTCTAACTCAGCGTCGCCACCTAGCGTGATCATCTGATACATTTCTTTTAATTTATTCGTAATGACATTAAACCCAGCCATGAATTCATCCAATCGTTGTTTACGAAGATCTTCATGATATCGTCGTTGTTTATCACGTACATCTGTTATCTCGTCAAGTTCTGATACACGTTTTAAATAAACCTCTTCCTACAATAAATACGTCTATAATCCAGTCTAATAATACAGATTTTAAACCGACCAAAATCACAAAAGATAATCATAAAATAATCAGAGAAAATCAGAGTCATAAGCCAGGACATATTTCTCAAGTTAAACAAACAATATTTAAGTTAAAAGCAAGTTTTTTTTGTAGACGTTGAAAACATATTTAAAAAAATTGAGACGCTACTTTTATCTTGTGTCTGAACGTCACGTGTTCGTGATTTATCAAAGTACTTCGGTTCAAGTCATGCTTTCTACATGGTGAATACAATGTTCTGATTTTGGTTCCTGAGTCAGGCTGTAGTTTGAGTAGAGACATGTTTCTAGGAACTAACCTTTTTCCTGTATTCTGTAATAGCAGCCATATTGGGTTTCATCTGACGTATTTTTTCTTCCATGACAGTAATAGTATATATTAACTGATCTTTCTTTAGAGATTTTACAGTATCTTCTACTGGTGGTTGAAGTTCTGTTTTTTCTTCTCCTTCTATTGGTGACAATGATAGTTTACTGATCTGAAAGGGAGATAACTCTGTATAATATATATGGTCCTAGTTTTCTGTAGTTTGGGTAATGAGGAAAGAATTTTGTGATTGAAGACTAATAAGATGTGCAATTCTTTCCTCTTTAACCTAAAATTCCAAATCATGCCATCAGATCCAGTCCAAAAGCTGACAAAATTTAAAGATGTAGACAAGAAATTCTAACATATGATATGAATTAACAAAAATTGGATTTAATTTTCAAAATAGATTGAGAGTGAAAGAAGCAAACCTCTTTTTTCCAATGTTTAGTTTTTGATTTATTTTCTTTCACCAAGTTATCATATTTATCAAGTTGATGTCGAACATCAATATTATCTTTCTGTAGTTTCGTCTCTTCTTCTTCTAATTCTACCATGTTTTTCTTTATCTTATTTAATGTAACTTCTACTTCTTTCATTTTCTCCTGGAAAACATCATTTAAATATATTAAACGGGGCGGGAAAGTCTAACAATATGAATATTCATTGTTTTGATTGGTTATTATAGTTTATTGTGGGTAAGTGATGTGCTGAAGGGAACCTGATTAAAAACAGAAGATGTATGTATTGTTCTATATCTAAACAGATTCTAACCCACAGTACCGGATTCCTTAGCAGACGATAATCCAACATGCTACTGATATAAAAACACACAGATCCAACCCAGTGTTAGAGTGAAGTATGGACGATAGTTAGTTTCAAAATCTTACCTGAGAATCCTCATATTTCTGTAAAACATCCATTGCATCTTTTTCCATCTGTTCAAACGCTTTCTCCAGTTCGGCCATTTTATTTTTATTTTCCTGTATTTCTTCTTTAGTAGATTCTAGTTTATCTTCTGCTTTCTTTAAATTTCTATCAAAATAAAAATTAAAAAGTTTGACGAACTTGGTATACTGTTCTTACACTTCTAAACGTAGGATGATATTTAGGCTATCATCAGGCAGTGTGCAATAAGGGAAATTCTATAGACAGCAACATCAATCAATTCTGTTTCAATATTCAACTGTCAAGGAATATTGAATAGACAAAGCCTGTAGTGAACAGATGTTCAGTTTACTAAACACCAGGCTTTTTTCAGGTCAGTTTTGACAAAGGGAAGTAAGCAAGGACAGTTGAACTTACCTCTCAGCTGTTTTAACACTAACTTTAATTTTAGTGATATTTCCCATAGTTTGATCTATTTCTTTAGAAACACCATCAAGTCTTGACTGAACAGCTTTTATTTTACTTCCTCCAATCTCCATTATTTTATTATTTAAACTGAAATTATAATCTATTATTAGTTTTTATTTATAACTTAATTTAAAATGATATTATTGTTTCTATCATCTCTCATTGTTTATTAAATATAATTATATTTCAGATTTATAACTTACCTTTTGACTTCATCTTGTAGTTTAGTATAACCAGCTGAGATTTTCTCATATTCTAAAAGATAAATTGATGAGAGTAAGGTGTCAGGTATAGAATTATTACCAGCATAGTGATGACATAAAACGCTAAGTGGAATTGCAGGAATCACAGACGTCTGAAAATCAATGATATCAGTGTCCTTGATACACATACAAAATTTAGAAAACCTTTTTACAATTCCTTCAACATATGTCAAATATTATGGTCTACTCTACCTGCTTTAAATTTGCCAACTTTTTTCTCCAGATTTTTGAGTTCGTTTGGATCTGGTGCTACCTCTTTAACTTTTTCTTCCTGAGTTTGAACAAGTTGAGTTAAACCTGGTATCTGGTCTTTCATAGCCTACAATATACAAATATTGTTAAATAAAATTATTATTATTAAGTTAAAGTCTTATTTCTTTGCTTCTGGCAAGTTTAATACAAAATAAAAAGAAAAGATGAAATAGTAAATTTATAACAAGGATAACAACTTCAGTTGTCAAGGATCTTTTCTACCAACTGGTCCTTGACCAAATTTCTTGGCATTCACCCATGGCATTTACAGTTGGGTTGACTTTAATATTCACTTGAACAATGACTTTCAAACATAGACTGAGATAAGAATCCATGACCACCATTTTTACAACATGTAAATATTCCAATTCAAATTGAAAGTTGTGAAAAATTCTAAATTTGAACTCTGCAGCAAGTAAAAATGAAGTTTTTGTTATAAATCTAACCTGAATTTCATTTTTAAAGTTAACCATGTTTGTTTCTAGAGTTTTTAAATCTCGTTCCTGAACTCGTATCATTTCTTCTAATCTATCTCGGTTCTCTCGGAATTCTTCAGTCTGTACAGTCGCCTGGAATATCATAATAAATATTTTAGAGAAGGAATCACAGTATCATACCTAAACATTATAAATTCTTCAGCTGGGTCTCTTACAAATTATCCAGACATGTTGAATTTAATGTGGTCTGACAGTATTAAATTGATAAACCTAATTAACTCCCCTTGATTGAATTTGACAAACAAAAGCAATATAACTTGTTAACAAAAGACTAAATATGAAGTCTACTTCCTTCGACGAACAATCCAGAACATAAAAATGACGGACCCTTTATGAACGTAAAAAGGGAGACAAAGTGGGAGATATCAAGATGGCACTAGAGTATACCTGTAGTTTTTGAATCAAGGTTAAAAAGACGAGAGTGTATTGCTTGATTTGTAATGTCTGAGATAAGAGATAAGTGTGAATTCATAATTATTACAGTCAACGTACCTTTTCTAGAGATTTTTCAATTTCTACAAGTTGTCTAGGATCTATATCTGCTACGGCAGCTGACCCCATTCGACCTTTACAGACCTGATTACCTCCCCCTGATAGAGTACCTGTAATATATCAACAATATACAGGTAAGTTTTTATAATGGTGGAGATTAAACTTCTTTCCTTTCAAACTATTAGTTGACTATTTACAACAAAATCCTAACCATTACAGGTATTGTAAGGAAACATTTTATTGATTCATGACTTCACTATTTCAACAGCTACTATTAATAATATCTAAGAAAAGATTTAGTGAGATTGAAAACATGTTTCAGTTTTAACAAGATACAATCAAACTCTACCTACCTGCAATATCTATAACCTGTCCTTGTAAAGTAACGACTCTGTAACGTGTTTTACCGTAAGATATCTTCGTAGCTTGATCTAGATCTTTAGCTACTAGTGTATCACGTAGAGCGTAATAAAACGCTGGTAGAACAGCTTCATCATTCACATTAACTAGGTCAAATAATCGTGCTACATTTTCTGGACTGGAAATAGAAATTTATTTAAGAGACCATCTTAAACTGTAGACACTCCAGGTGATAGGGATTAAAAGCCAACACTCAAAAGCACTGTCAGAGCCATCAGTGTTTTAGCTTACCTATAAGGAGATTCAAACCTACAGAACCTAATGTGACGATCCAAATTCTACCATTTCAGTTATTTAACTGTCCAAGCAGATCAAAATCAACCTTGTCATGGACAGAGCTATTCCACTTTCCAATCAGACGACAATCCAACTCTCTACTGACTGAGCTATTCCACTGTCCAATCAGACGACAATCCAACTAGCTACCAACTGAGCTATTCCACTGTCCAATCAGACGACAATCCAACTTGCTACCAACTGAGCTATTCCACTGTCCAATCAGACGACAATCCAACTAGCTACCGACTGAGCTATTCCACTGTCCTAGCAGACGACAATCCAGCTTGCTACCAACTGAGCTATTCCACTGTCCTAGCAGACGACAATCCAACTAGCTACTGACTGAGTTATTCCACTGTCCTAGCAGACGACAATCCAGCTTGCTACCGACTGAGCTATTCTACTGTCCTAGCAGACGACAATCCAACTTGCTACCGACTGAGCTATTCCACTGTCCTTGCAGATGACTATCCAACTCACTACCTACTGAGCTATTCCACTGTCCTAGCAGACGACAATCCAACTTGCTACCGACTGAGCTATTCCACTGTCCTTGCAGATGACTATCCAACTCACTACCTACTGAGCTATTCCACTGTCCTAGCAGACGACAATCTAACTTGCTACCAACTGAGCTATTCCACTGTCCTTGCAGATGACTATCCAACTCACTACCTACTGAGCTATTCTACTGTCCTGGCAGACGACAATCCAACTCTCTACTGACTGAGCTATTCTACTATCCTAGCAGACGACAATTCAACTAGCTACCGACTGAGCTATTCTACTGTCCTAGCAGGCGACAATTCAACTCTCTACCGACTGAGCTATTCTACTGTCCTGGCAGACGACAATCCAACTCTCTACTGACTGAGCTATTCTACTATCCTAGCAGACGACAATTCAACTAGCTACCGACTGAGCTATTCTACTGTCTGCTACTGAGCTATCACACTGTCCTAGCAGATGACAATCCAACTAGCTACCGACTGAGCTATTCTACTGTCTGCTACTGAGCTATTCTACTGTCCTAGCAGACGACAATCCAACTAGCTACCGACTGAGCTATTCTACTGTCCTAGCAGACGACAATCCAACTCACTACCTACTGAGCTATTCTACTGTCCTGGCAGACGACAATCCAACTCTCTACTGACTGAGCTATTCTACTATCCTAGCAGATGACAATTCAACTAGCTACCGACTGAGCTATTCTACTGTCTGCTACTGAGCTATTCTACTGTCCTAGCAGACGACAATCCAACTAGCTACCGACTGAGCTATTCTACTGTCCTAGGAGACGACAATCCAACTCGCTACTAACAAAGCTATCAAAATATATATATATAAATATTCCCTCTTAATTTGATAATTGACTTACGTTTGTATTTTTCTAGCGGCCTGTTCTTTAAATCGTGCCATCTTGTCAAGAGCTATGAAGGTGGCGACACCAACATCAGCTTGTTTTAGATAGTTGACACATTTCTGGGCAGTATTTATTGTATCTACAACAATATTATCTAACGCACCACAAGCTGTTGATATAGCAACATCATATTGTTTATCTATACCACCTAAATCACCCTAAAATAAAACATAGCACAAATGAAATAAAAGAGTTTTAATCCTACTGTTCTGCACCTAATGAAGATGGGTGATGCCATGCAGTTTGCAATGAGGAAAACTCTAGCCAAGGCAACAGCCTTAGCCTTATCTTGTTTGATTTCAAACTATGACAGGATTGAACCCTGGAACTTCAGGTTAGCCAGCAAGCGTATAACTCACTAAGCCACAGCCGGTCTCTGTTTAGGTCAAAAAAAAAATGTCTTTACTACCTACCAAACGACCATAAATACCAGGAATTTCTCCTTGTCGTTTCTGTTTCATCAAAGCTTTTATCACTTTTCCTTTATTCATATCAGCCTGCATAGAACTTCGTGAGACTTCTAACTTTTCTCTTAGCTCTCGTACCTATAGTTATATTACATATATAGTAGAATAAGACAATGATCAACCCCCAACTTTAGTTCAGATATAACTAGAATTCAAAATGGTGGAGAGATAAATAGAGTATATTAAACATATCTTGTTCTGATCTCTTGACAACTGAACTGGAAACAAACTGAACCTGTTAAAAACTCAACAATCATGTGCCACCAAGGTATACTGGTATTTTATATACATATCAAGGGGAAGTAACCCTTGTCTAAAGAATATTACAAGTCAATATATCTTACTTGTTGTGTTGATTGAGCCTCTTTCTCTTCAACTAGTTTATAATCTTTACGACATTTTATTACAATTTTCTCTAAATCTGGTATTCTCTTCTGCATTTCTACTATATTTCTACAAAAAATTTAAAAATGGTAAAAACGTGAACTGCTATATAAATTATCAAAATAGAAAATACTCTCTCAAAATTTAAATACCACATAAAGATTGTTGATGTAGATAATAGATCTAAAGAGAACTAAGCCCCAATAATGCACCCATTGAATCAAAAACAGTAGCTCAGACTAGCCTCGTGACAGATAGAATCTAAGTATAACTAGATATTCAATTGCTAGCAACAGGCATCATTCAGAAGAATCAAGATATTTTGGGATATAATTTACTCTTTTCTCTTTGTTAAAGTAGACTGGGCTGTTTCTAGTTTCTCTGTAACTTCTGTTAGTTTATTTTCTTCTCGTGTTTGATTACTCAAATATACATCTAGTTCAGATTGGGCTACTTGATACTAGAATTATAAATATTAAAACAAATTTCTAAACACTTGGCTATATTCCTTGACAAAACCTCACTTATACTTAAAATTTCTACATTGAAAATTAGAGTCTACACAATTGGGTGACAAAACATTTCGATATGTCGGTAGAAACACCCTGACAGCTTCCAAACAAACAAAAAATAATAACTTACAGTAGATTTAACATCATTTACTGATTTACACATTTCTAAAACTTTACTTTCTTTAATTTCTTTCTCCTCTTGTAAACCCTGAAACATAAAATAGATATTTTAAATATATTTAGAACATGACATCTTAACAAATATCACCATTCCAGGACTGTCAAGATGAAGGGGTTTGATCTATAGATAAACAGTATTTGAGACAGGACCAGGTCTACGTTTAAGATAAAAAAAAAATTGTATGACTTTGATATATTTTAGCCCTTTTAGATGGAAGCCAGAGGAAGGAGGGATTTTCTTTTCTTTAAAAACTTACCTTAGTCTCATGTCAAAACTTAAAAGAAGATACAATTTTTGCAATACAGGGGCCATTGATATAACAGGTTGAAGGCAATGGGATAAGTGGATTTAACTCTTTCTAAAACTGTCCAAAACTTTACATTTTAACAAACTAAGATCCATATTTTCGATGTCGAGCTAGAAGCTCCAGGGATGAGGGGATCTGTTTTGAACATACCTTAGTCTCAGTTTTTAAACTGTCCATAACTTTCTTCATACTCTCTTCTTCTCTCTTTTTCTCTACTTCTAATTTCTCTAGTTTAACTTGTAATTCTTCTACTAACTTTTCACTGTGTTCAGGTACAGCTTTTAATTCTTCTATCTAGATCATAGGAGATAATGGCAATAATTAACCAACATGCAGGAAGATGATATAGTTATGATAAAACAAGACAAATGTTTGTCTCTTAATTAAAACTGTCATCTCAAATGATTTTCTAAGTTCTGTTCATATTCTGGCCTCAATTGAACGTTATGGAAGCAGAATATGTCAAATTTTCCTTTCTATTCCATTCCCCACCATTTTGAATTCTGTCTAAATCTAAATTTTTTGGCACACGTTCTGAACTCTGTTTAAACAGGCAGAGCTCATCAATCAAGCAACTCCATTGAGTTAAAAAATAAATTATTAAGACAACTCTTTCTCTCTGATTTTGTTTAACTGATAAACAATTCTCACCTTTTTCTTCTCACTATTCTGTGTAGCTTCTAATTTTTTTATACTAGCCTTGGTATGTTTTAAATCTTCACGAAATTTAACATCTTTCTGTTCAAATTCATTAAATGTCTCTTTATTTTTCTCTGTTTCTTTCTGTAATTCTTGAAATTCTCTGTAAAAAACAAGCAAAATGCAGAATCAAAGTTCACCCTTTCCAAACGATCAGGTTGAAAAATCTGAAGGTATTATCTTTACCTATGCCAGTGTCTAAACTATAAGTGTCTAACTCACTGAGCAAAACCCCCACCCCACTCTCTTTTTCTATGACTAACTTTTAAACCAACAACTCCTTCAAATATAACTTGATTCTAACTTACTTGAAGACCTTTTTATGTTTATCAGAATGAGATTTTTTAGTGTCAGTAATTTCTGTTAATCTTTCATCTACTTCTTTTAAACTTTCTTTTATTTTACCATATTCTTCACTAGCTTTCTCTTCATTTTCTACACATTCTTGACTACAAACATAACAATTTTAATCAATCATGGGCAATAACTCTAAACTGGAATTATGAAACACCCAATATTCAAACTATTTCTGATCTCTTGAACTACACCATTCAATTGCATTTGACAAGAAATTAATCTTACCAGCAACATCAAACTGAAATTCCACCAGGACAGTAGAATTTTTGTCAAAAGTATTCTCTCAATCTATGCCAGGATCAAATGAGTTGGTTACTTTGCAGGCATTTAAGATTGGAAGAGGTGGGGAAAACATTGACCCTGGCATCCTACAGAAAAAGACTAATACATAAAGGGGAGGAGGAATAGAGGGAATCACGGTCCTCGAGACCACTGGCTGTGGAATCATAAAGAAAATAAGACTTACATATAAACATGATAAAGTAGATGTTTTATGGTCGTCAACTCGTTCTCTTCTTTTAAATATTCTACAGCTTCATTCTTCGGCCCTTCTAAATCATCTTTCTCTTTCTCTACTACTTTTACTCTGTTTAACTAAAAAATATAACACATCTCATCATCACCAAACACCTGCTTGCCAGTCATGTCTGACTCGAGTTCAAAACTGTCTACAGTAAGTTATGTTTCATTCAATTAAACTAGAAAGTATTAAGCTAATACACTCACCTTTTCAGCTCTGAATTCATTTAATGTTTCAACACGTTTAGATAAAATATCAATAGGTTCTTTAAATCTATTACTACCAATAATATCTTCTAGAAATTCTAACATTCCATCCTCATGTTCAGACTGAGCTTTAGGTTTCATCATAGCTATCTGTTCTACTTCACCCTGGAGATAAACAGTAGAAATTATAAATTAATATAATATTGATAAAGATTTCTGTATGTCAATTGAATTTGATTGTATGCTAGATTTTGATAAAATATTAGACAAGAAGCAAACAGCTTGAGGAGTCCCAGTAAGGGGAGCTAACTTGATCATATTACCTGTAGAATAAGGAATCTATTGTGGTCTAGATCAATTCCACTTCGTCTCAATAAGGCAGCCACCTCTTTATAAGTAACTTTACGTCCGTCGACAGCGTAGTTTGATGTATTGTCTTTAGAGGCTGTACGAGAAACAACTATCTCACTATTTGGTACTACTGTAAACTCATCATCTCCTGGCTATAAACATAGAAAATAGTTCAAAAGCTGGTAATAATATATAAGGACCTTTACCATAGTGTTGTTAATAATGGTTTAAGTGGAATTGCAGGAACCACAGACACCAGACTGAAAATTGGAATGGTGTAAATTGATATACATGGAATGCAATCAATGAATGTTAATGAAAATCAACCTACCCCAGTGTCGATAATCTTTTGAAAATAAACTGAGACAGTACAACTGGTTATATTTTGATGTTCCTGACTATTGTGTAAGAGAACACTCAGTTTCTTAGAGCGTATTTTATTGGCACGGTAACCAAAAACAAACAACATGGAATCTATTACATTAGATTTACCACTACCATTCGGTCCAACTATAGATGTAAAACTCTAGAATGGAAATGAAAACATAAAAATGCCTGATCTCTCATTAAAGACAGTAAAAAAGAATTGTCAATTATTTGATATAGTCAGTTGATGAGATCACACTTTGAATAGGAATGAATTTGTGATCAAGGGCAATAACTCAATAAATGTCATAAATCGCTCAGATAAAACGTTGACCTTTTAGAATATAAATCAATTTTCTTCTGAAGAAAACAAACATTTATACAGCTCATATTTGTACCAATAAATATCCCTTGAAAATAATGGCTATCAAAGGCAAGAATATTGTTGAGAATAACAAACCTTATGAAAGGGACCGAGAGTCTGAGTACCAGCGTAAGATTTAAAGTTGTGGTTTTTAATTTGAGATATCATCAATCTAGGACCGTTCACATCGTACGTAGCTACCGACTCGGGTGCTGGGGGGATCTCTACTTCACCAAATTCTATAAAAACAAACATACATTGATATTAAGATTGATTATAGCCAACTGACCAGATAGGAATACCTCACCACATTCTAGAGAAACAAATTGATAATTAATTCTTTGGAACAAAAAAAACACATATCCAACATAAAATGTTGCTTTCACATCTTGGTGATACAAGCCTTAACAGTTTGAAAGTATTATGACCAGTATAATTTTGTTTTTTGAGAGTATATGTGAATTTTCCTCCCATCTAGATTTACTGACAACTTAACACAAACCTGCAGCGCTAAAATGTCTTGAAACTGAGGGAGTTGGTGCTGCATCTATTTCCATTGGTTCTCCTGTTGCACCCTGAGGTGCTGGTGTCTGTGGAACATCTGTTTCCATAGCAACTGTTTCTTCCTCATCATCAAGGGCAGCCAGTGCCGCTGCTTTCTTCTTTGACTTGCCCGAATTTACCGATGATGGCATTTTTTTACTTTCAGCATGAACAGCTATAAATATTTATAAGAACCAAAAAATGAAATGAATGGAGTTTTACATCCTTCTCTTCTGTACCTTATTGGACTAATGAAGACAAGACATGCAATGCCATGTAGTGTGCAATCGGGAAAATTAGTTTGCCAGGTCAGCATTATTAGCTAAACCTTTTTCCATTTCCAATAGTCGTGGGATCTTTACAAGCACAGCCAGTAGCACGCAAGGCTTTGGACTTGGTTTGTCCCAACGTCAACAACTAGAGTGTAGTCTTTCAGTAGAATCTTATATTTAAGCAACATTAATGAAAGCTGGGAGCTTGAATAAACAGCAGTGAGAGTGAATAACGTTAATGAGGAAGAGATGTAATGATACTTCGTCGAAACTATTGAAACCTGAATGAAAATTGCTTCGTTATTCAAATAAAATATTGTTGACAAGTATGAAAATTAGTGAAGCCGAAAGGAAAGTAAAGTGCATGTATTTCAAATTCATCGTCGTCAGAAGAAAAGTTTCAACAAAGCAGGGAGTGTAACTCAAGAACAGTACATGGCAGTGTGTAAAATGTTTTAAAAGTCAAAATAATTTGATCAAATTCAACTTTTGTTTACCTTTTTCACTTGGAAAAACTGTCAATGTTGAAAAGAGCGCTAAACTTCATTCACCGGAAGTCGATTGTGATTGGTTGATAATGTAGGTCAGGCAAACTATTTTCTGCTCAAATAATCCCAAAGAGTTGGCCACGGGCTTATTCTAGGGACTACAAACACGATTTTTTCTTTTAAATATTATAAATTTAATAAATCATTAATTTAATATCACATTTGATAAATCTAAAAAATTGGTGGTGAAGGAAAAAAAAAATGGCGATTTTACAACAAAGAGGATTTCATCAAGAAATGATTTGATTCATAGCAAAGAAATGGCAGCATAACAATTTTACCAACATTAAAACAAAATCAGGAACATATATTTGTGAAGTAGAGAGAGGGTATTTATCAACCACAAACATCTTACTATTCTGTTTGGTTCTAAGATTCTAAAAGTGCAGTCAATTGAGAATTGAATCCCACCCATCCTCTGTAATATAATTTAAGAATTCTTCAAATCTCTGACTAAGAATTCCAAATAAAACTGAAAATTGTTTTGATAAAGAGCGAGA